TTCATGTAAGCTATAGCTTCTGACCTTTAAATCAAAACATACTCATGATTTGATGACATCAATTACTGCTTTATTTAATCAGAAACAGTCTAAATATTATTTGTGTATTGTACTTTCACTTTATTAAAAGTAGGCCAACAGCGCCCCCTACGGAATTAATACTCCTTAATGAGCGGGCTTTAGGACCCGGGGGAGGCTGCCGCTGCACCGCTATCATTGTTTACTCTATCATGTGCATTCTCAGTTTAAATGCAGTGATCCAAAACAGTGAATCCAATCACCATTCAGGCAAAACTTTGCTTCAAGAATGAGTCACGCTGCTGACTTGATCTAATCGCTAGCACACCCTGAGCACATGTGAGTTAACCTATTCCTCTTATCGACAAGAAATATCAGCATAATTTTTCATATCAGGCCGATGCCGATATGCACATTTAAAGCCACTATCGGCCGATTCCGATATTGGTCCGATAATATCGTGCATCCCTAGTTAAAACCATTTATTTGAAAACATTTTTTTTTTCAGGATTACTTGATATAAAGTTCACAGCAACAGCATTTATTTAAAATATAACCATTTATTTGAAAAAAATTTTTTTTTTCAGGATTACTTGATATAAAGTTCACAGCAACAGCATTTATTTAAAATATAAAGATTTTGTAATAATATAAATATAGGTCAAATGATCAATTTAACGCATCCTAGCTGAATAAAAATATTAATTTCTTGCATTGTATTTGCCCTATAGATGATGGTTAATTATTTTTTCTTTTGCATCACTCAAGACACAAAAATGTTTGTTCACAAAAATCCATTTTCCATTCCTTACAATGTAAAAAAAAAAAAAAAAAAGGTAAATATGATGCTGCCTATTATATTTTGGTGATTAAATAGTTTTTTTAAATTCATTTAGTGATAAACAATGTAAAAAAACATGCCTTCATTATCTCTATCTAGATTTTTGTAGTGTGCTTTGTGTTTTAGTTCTTGTGCAAGACATTTTGAATCTAATTCGCCCCAATGGCTGTTTGGCTGAAATGACGATTCTCCTCTGAAATCAACCATCCTATTAAGTCAGATATATATCAATAAGCCTATTATTCGGACTATAAGATACACAAAACCCAAAATGTTTGTCACTGGAGGGAATAAACTTTCACCCCTCAAAACACATTAGCGCAATGCCAGAAATCAGCAGTAATGACTTTAAATGAACAGATAAGAGAAGCGGGAAGACAAACGAAAAAAGAAAAGACGACAGCGCTGGGTGTTAATGATGCTGAGTGTGTTAAGACAGGCGAGCCGAGTCTCTTAGCAACAGATGATCCTGTGCGCAGACACATAGGAGGAAATTCGCCTCTCCTAATAAACTGTTGCGAGCCCCGCTGCATCGCTCCTGCAGGAGGGGTTTAATGTGGCCACGTCCAGCTGTGCCGCACTTCTGTTGTGTCTTTCCGTTTTAATCAGATGTGTGCAGATATGAAAACTAGCTGCAAGCGATGTCTTTAGCATGCCAGGAGTGTGTGAGGGATGAAAGCGAGGAACGGTGAGTTCTGCATGGTGTGTATGTATGTGTGTGTGTGTGTGTTTGCTCACCTGGCTCCAGGTCAAGCTGGCAGAGATACTGAGACGTGCTGAGCGTGACCACGACCACACGGTGGCGCTCTACATCCTGTCGCGTGGGCATCTGGAAGGTGAAGTACGCTCCAGAGATCAGGCAGTACTGCTGCACCACCGGGTGGACCGTCTTCACCCAGCGGTTCCTGAAGTAAACCCTGAGCAAACACAGAAACACAACGTTAACGGCATAGTTCACTCGAAAACGAAAATTCAGTTATTTACTCACCCTCGTATTGTTAAAACATTCACTCATCTTTGAAATACAAATATTTTTATTGAAACTTGAGAGATTTCTTAAACTAAACCAAAACTTTGATGCATCAAAAAGTCTCATTACCAAGTTTTAAAACCAAACATTTTTATTAGAAGAGCATGCACTGATGAACTGTGCACAATAAGACCAGGGTTATGTATCAAGAAATTCATATGTTGTCTGTACAAGCTAAATTTTAAGATACCAAAAGAGAGACAATAGAGGAACAGACTCGTGTGGGTGGTGTGCCAATGTGACCTTGAACTATGAGAAAAAACAAGATTTTAAAATATTCTGGATGACTAACAGCATCAAAATTGCATAACAAATTACCTTCCACAACGTCCAGTTTTCAAATCATTCAATGCCATGTAACTTGTCCAATCAACATTATGAAACTCATCAAGTTACACTATTCTTTAGCTAGTACATTCAGATTAGGGATGTCAAATGCACCAGTACTTCAGTGGTAATTCATTCCTTAAAAAAAACAAACACTAAATAAAAGCAATAGACATAATACTAAAATAACGCAAAAAGGATGGTATTCATAGATTATTTATATATACAATAACAGTCCTTGTTAAAGGAGACCAATTATGCCCCTTTTTACAAGATGTAATATAAGTCTCAGGTGTCCCCCAAATGTGTGTGAAGTTTCAGCTCAAAATACCCCACAGATCATTTATTATATCATTTTGAAAATGCCTATTTTGAGTGGAAGCAGAAACAGGCTGTTTTAGTGCATGTGTCTTTAAATGCAAAAGAGCTGCTGCTCCCCGCCCCCTTTTGCAGAACAGGGCTGTGCCTTTACAGCTAGTACCTCAGATACTCAGACATGATAATCAAAACCAAACAGTTTTTTTTTTTTTTTGTCAATCGTGCTGAAATCATGCGTTTTAAAGGGGACCCATTTTCCACAAGTTGATATTATTGTTTAGGGTCTTCATGAAAAGTCTATAACATACTTTGTTTAAAGTTTGTCAATGGTCGTGTAAAACAACACCCTTTTTACCCTGTCAAAAACAGCTCTGTTCACAGCAACCCATTTCAGTGCATGTCCCTTTAAATGATAATGAGCTACTGCTCAACCCCCCCTTCTTTCCCATTCTTGAGTTAAAGTCACCATTCTTATTCATGCAGTTATAACTGCTCAAAAATGATTTAAAATACATTTGTAAATGACTTATTTGTCATTAACAAACACCTTTATAAACCATCTACAAAGGCAACCTTAATGTAGCCTTAAAGGGTTAGTTCACCCCAAAATGAAAATTAGGCTGCGTGTGAACTAACCCTTTAATGTACTTCATAAATAGAACGAGGCAGCTGTTTACTGTCGGAGATTTGTCGTGCCGCGCCGCATCCACTGTAAACAGCATCACTGATTATAATGAGTTCTACAGTAATTTTTCAGTATTGCATCCGATGTCCCCTTTAAACCATATTAGTTTAAAGTTCTGGTATACCTTTTTCTGAGCGCACAAATCTGAAGCACGCACACAGAAAGCGGCGGTCACACAGCATGCAATACTAAACTAAGTTATATGTTAAAAACACACGAGTTACAAAAACACTTGGTTATGTCTGTGAAGGTAAACAGCTGGGAAAGAAATGGCATGTTTTTATTAGATCTGTGTGGCAGCAGCGTAATATACAGTAAATAAATCAATAAATCCACTGCTCTCTTGTCTCCTCTGAGGCTGGGACTCTAAATAGTGTTCTGTACTTGTCAGAGCAGCCAAAGACAGAACAGTGAACATGCTTTGCTCGAACATTTGCCGTGGCGTTAGAACTGGTACACCATTGTCGCTTGCGAAAACACAATGGCAAATGTACAGATTAAGGGGCGGTGATTTTATAATAAGATCCCCTTTCTATGTCATGGTCAAAAAATGAGCGCCTCATTTTTTTACAAGCTTGCAGAGAAAGGCTTACCAAGCAAAATTTACTAGGTTGTCCTTTTTCACGTTTTCTGGGTTAGTAGATGCACCGGGGACCCGATTATAGCACTTAAACACGGAAAAAGTCTATTTTTCATTATATGTCACCTTTAAAAGTCTGAATTAGTTTTTATTTTTATATTTTCAATTTTCCCTTTCATTTTAGTGTAAGGTTTAGTCATTGTTATTTGCTTATTTGTTTCCATTTTATTAATTATTTCTATTCAAGCTTCATTTATTTTTATTTCAGCTTTAGCAATTTAATTACTTCAACCTAACATAATCTGAATTCTAATTATCATCTTATATTTATATCTCATTTCATTTCAGCTTTATTGCAAATAATGAAAACATTTATAATAGTTAGTTTTAGTGTCCATTATAGTATTGTGATGTAATCAAACTAACCGTGCCTGAAATACTGAAGTGTGGCTATTATGAAAATGACATGCATCTTCAGAAAGAGTAGGAAGACATTTCAGCCACTGAAACTAATTTTTATTAATTTCGAAATCATTATGTATACTGTGTTTATACTGAAAGTTGGTGTCATGACAATCACGCACCGCTCCAGATGCTGCGAGTGTTACCTGAGAGGTCGTGCGTGTGGATTGCCTGCCACCACGTATGGATGAAGGTAATCTTTGATATACAGATCTGCTGCACTGTTTGAATGTGTACAGATCAGAACCCTGAAACAAAGAGAAAGCAACCATCATTAGCACTCTTTAAGATAAAGCTGCTGAAATCAGGGCAAAAACCAACAAATGTCTTAAACCAGTTCAATTCCTCTGTTCTTCAAGACTATTCCTCATGATTAGCAAGGAATGTTTTGGGATTGATACAACTTAAGCTCTATTGACAACATCTGTGCAATGCTGTTTTCACCACAGGAAATTTCGATTCGTCACTCAAAACACACTGACACACACTTACAATGGAAGTCTTTGGGGCAAGACATTCTGAAGGGTTTATAGGTAGAACTGTCCAAACAAGGTCAGTTCTTTCACATTCGTTTCACAAATATAACGTTTTAGTCTTGTGGGTATAGCTTTGAAAAAGTGTGTATTTTAATGTTTATCATTGGGTAATGTCTTGCCCCATAGACTTTCATTGTAAGTGCATTACTGAAAATTTGTGTCAATGTTGTCAGCAGTTTTTTAATTTGGTCTTAGTCCTGTGTCAAATCTGAGTCCTCTTAGTTTTTAACATTTTATTGTTATTTAGTCAAGGTTTAGTTGACAAAGTACGGGGAATTTAGTCTAGATTTAATCAATGAAAACAGTCATATTTTAGTCATGCTGCACAATGGTTAAACAAATAGTCACAATTATTTTGCTCAAAATGATAAAACTGTGATTTTTGATCTCAACTGTTGTCATTTACGAGATCTGGTCAGAATTACTGCACTTTCACCTATAAGCAAAAATAAAGAGGTCAACCCAAACACAAGTTTATTTGACCTCATCTAGTTTCATTATTTATCATATCATCATATAAATGAACACACTCTATATTATAAAAACTGTTAAAACTCAAAAGCTAAAACGGCGACATTTCTAATATTATTACATATAATTTCCAAATGATATTTCTGTTTTTCTATTGAAACAACAACAGAAAAGAATTTGTACTGCAGCACAGAGGTTGCATAATTACATTTATTCAGAGGCCACAAACGCAAACGATATAGTTGAGATCCATGTTTGGATTTATTCATTCGTCACCGAGGAGGTTTGATGGCAGATTCATACAGCAAACAGTGCAAAAAAAACGTGTGAAGAAACAAAGACTGCCTCTATTACACTTTCATTATAGCCGAATATCTCAGGAAAATTATGTTTGTCAACGTTTTTAAATAATCAGCACTGTTTCCACAGTGCAAAGAGCATGTGCTCATGGTTGCCAGGTTGCAAAGTTAAAGTAAATCCCAATGCAGAAAATGTGCCCTTTTAAGGAGAAAAGCTCTGATAAGGGGATTTAAACTTTTAACATCTGGCAACCCTAAGCAAAGGCTTATATTTATCTGACCTTTTTTTGTTAATATATCGATATATCGGCTGATATTTGGCATTTTTCAAATATCGGCATTGGCCGATAAGTTTTTCTGTTTGGCCGATGCGTTCAAGGCGGGACTTTTATTTTGACCGTCGTCAAAATAAAAATAAAAAGGACTTTTATTTTGATGGCGCTGAGAGCGGCAGCCCTGAGCAAACAGTGCTCACATTCTCCCTCTTGTTCGCCGTCGTTGTTAACAGTTCTGTCTAATACGGATAGAAGTCTGTCAAACAATCCGATAGAACTGTTAAACAAAGGAATTAAAAATATTTATTTGTGGAAAATATTTTGTCATCTAAAGTACAAGTATGTTTATTTTACAAATTCATTTTTTAATCCATTTTCAAATGATTTCAAATTTCTTAAATATTAATTAAAATAAATACAATTATATCGGCTTTATATCGGCCACCCTGCTTTCCTAGATATCGGCATCGGCGGTCAAAAAACCAATATCGGTCGACCACTAGTTTGGACATAGAGAGTTTTTATTTTTTTAACTATATTTTCAATCTCGTCTTTTTCATCAATGATACTGCATACTGATATAGTCATATAGTGACCCTCATCTTTTCTTCGTCTTGTCTTAGTCATAGAAAAAAAAACATCATCAATAAGTATTTTCCATCAGTTTTCGATAGCAAAATGAACACTACTGTAAATGCGTTTCTTGTTTCGTTTTTCAAAATGAGTGGAAATTATTTTCTGTGGTAAATTCCTGCAAAACCGCTTTCCTGCTTACCGTGTTTCAGGCTGCTTGAGGATGTGTTTGACAGCCTGGGCCAGCGTGAAGGTCTTGCCTGTGCCATAGGGTCCGATGATGAGCACCGGCGGGAGGTTGATGGAGAGGGGGGTGGTGATGGCCAGAATAGCCTCCTTCTGCTTGGCATTCAGACGGGGATCCAGCTGCTCATCCCACTGCCTGTGGCAGCGAGGAAGAAGAACTTACACACTGGCAACAAACGCGTCCTGCCAACACAGCTGCCACTCACACAAATAGAGACGTCTGTGAGTGAACCAGTGCTGCTGGACAAGCAGATATTATACATGTCCTGTGTCATTTTAGGTACTTGTGAAGCTTTGTTAGACCAGGAACTAGTGCAAGCAGATCTCCAGGTGTGTGTGTGTGTGTGTGAGTAAAACTCACTCGTTTGGGTCTTTGCATGTGCTCGTACCTGTTGGGACTCCAAGGGATTGTGGGAGTGAGGCTGACATCTGGAAACAGGATACCGTTATCGCGGATGCGATCCAGAGCGTAGTGCATCTCACACAGAGGAAGTCTGTTCAGCTGAAACTGCAGCTCCACCTTGCATCCAAACACACACAAACACACCTGCTGTTCAAACAGACTCTGCCAAGACTTTCTGTATTTATTTGCACACGCAGCGCCTGCCATGTGCTACAGACAACACATCTAACAATGCCTTTTAAAGGAATGACTTTCAATTGGCAAAGAGTAAAATAAACATTTTCATGATAAACTAATACAAAACTACCTTCATGTCATTCCAAACCCATATGCTGTTATCACTAGGACACAAAAGGAGAAGTGCTGCAGAATATCCAGGAATATCCATACAATGAAAATGAATGTGAACTGAGGTATTTTAGGCTCCAAACAAAATCATAAATGCTATATTACAAATCCTCTGAATCATACATTACCATTCAAAAGTTTGGGGTAGGTAGTAGGGGTGGGCCATGAGACCAATATCTTATATCACTATATACGGGTAATCGTATTTGACGATAACGATATATCACGGTATCGTTATTTTTGCTTTTAATAATGTTTTTATGATATCAAAATTTTTGATACCATAGATTTTTCATAATTCTTGTCAACAGTGTGACAAAAAAAACTAAAAGAAAAAAAAAGAAAAAAGAGAGAAAAACAAAAAAGCTGCACAACTGTTTTTAAAATTGATATCACTGCAAAAAAAAATTAATATCTTATTTAGTATTTTTGTTTTGTTTTCTTAGTACAAATATCTAAACATTCTTGAATAAAAGTACATTTACATGAGAAGCAAAACGGCTTACGGATGTTATGGATATATCTTATCTAAAATAATTTTGGCTTAAAACAAGAAAACATATCTGCCAAAATTATCTTAATTATCTAAATAATATAATTATCTAATTATCTTAATTCAATGGGAAAACAAGGTTATTTTTCTTGCCCCTCTGACAAATATCTTTTTTCAAAACCCTCTTAATTTTTATACATTTTTCATAAAGACTTAATATCTTAAGTCATATTGCTTCAAATAAATGTATCTTGATATAAGAATGTTTAGAGATTTGTAATGAAGAACAAGACAAAATACTACAGTATGTAAGACATTTTTTTTTTTACAGTGTAATAATAAGAAATGTTTCTTGAGCAGCAAATCAGTATATTAGAATGATTTCTGAAGGATCATGTGACACTGAAGACTGGAGTAATGATGCTGAAACGAATGAGTAATGATCTAATGTCCGCTTTGACATAATAAAAAATGAAAATATATTCAAATAGAAAACAATTATTTGAAATTACAATATTTTCTTTATTTTTGATCACATAAATGCAGCTGTGGTGAGCATAAGAGACTTCTTTGAAAAACATATTCAGTGGTGTCCAAAATTATTAAAACACTAGAATTTTCAGCAGCTAAAAATGGTTTTAATTCAGTTATTTCTATCTTTTGCTGTAGTGTGTCAGTAGGAAATATCAGTTTACATTTCCAAACATTCATTTAGCCATTAATTGTAATAATCCAGTGAGATTTTTTTCTGACAACAGCAGTGCTCCACACAGAGATCTGATCTGATCATCATCAGTTCTTCTGGATTTTTAGTCTGTCTCAGTTTGTTCTGTTTCTTCATGTCGTTCCAGACAGACTGGATGATGATCAGATCAGATCTCTGTGTGGAGCACTGCTGTTGTCAGACAAAAATCTCACTGGATTATTACAATTAATGGCAAAATGAATGTTTGGAAATGGAAACTGATATTTCCTACTGACACACTACAGCAAAAGATAGAAATAACTGAATTAAAACAATTTTTTTAGCTGGTGAAAATACTAGTTTTAATAATTTTGGCCACCACTGTGTGTGTGTGTTTGGACTAGGCATGGGTCGATTACCGGTTTCAAGGTATACCGCTATTTGAAAATTTCACGGTTTCAAAACCACTAATATTTTCCGTTATAGTACTTTTAATTATTTACTTTTCCTAAGAGGTGGTGGGGAGAAGTTACCACTTTTATTCCAACAGAGGTCGAAATGTATGTGTTCGACTTGAAGCAGCACCGCACAGACTGATCGGCGCATGACATCGAAGTACCGCGAGAGCGATTTGAAAGCATGAAGAGCCGTCTGCTCTCTGTAGCTCTCACGGTGCTTTGATGACGTCATACAACAATCGTTCTGCGAGCGCAGTTCCACTGCATTAGATGAGGTCGTATCCGTTTCAAGCCGGCACGAGAAAGCAAAACCATGACGGAGGCAGAGGATCAGACCTCTTCGAGAATTATTTCTGCACCTTCACGTTTTAAATCCTAAGTGTGGAAACACTTTGGATTTTACGCACTGCCTGGAAAACATGACTAAAAACGGTATGCAAAGTAACATAGCACTTTATTTTATTTCAGAGAGTATTTTTTCTACTCATTCTACTCAAAGTATTTTTTCTACTCATTTTGTTGAACATTTGACTATTATATTCATGTGCAAGTTCAGGGTTTTGGTACTTGAAAGTTTCATGGTTCAAGGTACTTTAAATATACACTGTGTATGTGTATGCTCCTGAAATAAAAGTTCAGAAAGATGTGATGCATTGTTTTATTAATATGACTCATCATATACAGTCTCTTTAATGGTATGATCAAGTATTTTCCATCGTCTAGTCTTTAATAAGCAAACAAAAATCCCAATAAATAGTAATATCGAATTGCAATAGTTATATAATCGCAATACTCATAATACCCAGCCCTAAAACCCAGCGTAATACTCAGCCCTAATATATATATGTGACCCTGGACCACAAAACCAGTCATAAGGGTCAATTTTTCGAAATTGACATTTCTACATCATCTGAAAGCTGAATAAATAAGCTTTCCATTGATGTATGGTTTGTTAGGACAATATTTAGTCGAGATACAAACAATTGAAAATCTGGAATCTGAGGGTGCAAAAAAATCAAAATATTGAGAAAATCGCCTTTAAAGTTGTCCAAATGAAGTTCTTAGCAATGCATATTACTAATCAAAAATTAAGTTTTAATATATTTAC